TATAGACATAACAGATGTAACCATGTAATATGATGTGATGATTCACGGTTACATTTATGTTCACGGTTATCTTCTGCGAAATCTGATGCTTATCATTTATCGACGTACTTGAACAAAGTATAAATGCGAGAAAAATTATTTTATTTGGAAATTACATTTGGTATAATCACTGTAACTCTAAACTGATGATCTGACGAGTATAAAATGAATAGAAGATAAATCGACATCTCTAAAATTATATGCGCGATAAAAACACGATGCGAACACGTTGGTTTATTCAAAGCCCCCAAAGTGCATCAACGTATATTGAATCTGCATATTACATGCGGCACTCCCATTGATACGTTGCCGTCCGCGAAGAACAATAAACAAGGCTTGTCCGCCGCGTACCGAACGACCGTCGTAAAAGATGCCCTAACGTTAAAGCCTCGGTAAGGTCTCTCAATGACATCTCCCCGAGGAACGGAGTGCGCGAGCTAGAAATTAAGAGGAAGCGGATATATACTGTGTCCGGGAGAGTTTCAACCAGCTCGAGATAAGGCCGTCGGCTGGCGCGTTGCGGTAGAAGTTCATAAATTATTCGAGTCGGGAGGACCGAAATAGCGGTGCGAATGCTAAGGTTAGTAAGGATTATTCACGGCACCCCCAAAGCCGTATTATTTAGCATTGGTACCTACTCTCGTACTCCCGGCTCTTTGCTCGCACAATTGTCGCGTTCTTCTTTATTACCTCATCCTGAAGTCCCTTTTCTCGTTCGTTTCCTAACGTTTAACATCCTTCACGCGTCCACGAGAAGCTATATACACCTTATACGAAGTGTACCTCTTCTTACACTTCGTCCTTTCTTTTTATTTCAAGATTAAATCTTTTTTTAAAGAGTTACATAAAGATACAGAAAAACGAACAAAATTCTTACAGAAGAATTCTTCTATATTTTATTCGTTTTTAATTAATTCAACACTGTTTCGCATCGTGCTCCTGCCAGTTGATTCTACACGTTGAGTTAGAAGTAACGAATAAGACAATTATTCCAAGAACAATGGAATTCCGTGTGCGTGCAGTGTAATTTGCGATTGTAATTGAGTGCCTGCAAATATCCATACAATGCCCGATACACTGAGAGAAAAAAATAGTTGCAATTACCATAATTTAACTATAATTTACAGTCATTTTCGATGCCGACTATATATTTTTTGGTAGAACTATAAATATAATTATCATTACTAATACTAAGTAGTAGTAATAACTATAAAAATAGAGTACCTAACCATAATTATTTTACCATGCAATTATAGTCGCAAATACTTTTCTCTTAATATTCCTTCCGCATGTGCGAATAGCTATCGTTCGCATTGTGAACCTCCTCTCTTGAAACCGGATTCAAATCAAGCAAACGAGCGTGAATAAACTCGAATGAATTGCACTGTTCGCGCTCATTGAAGCAAGTTGTTCGTTCGTGTTTGTTCACGTTCTCTTACTTGGCCTGGACCTAATTTATGTTCTCATCTTTACTAATACTGATTAACATTAATCTCGGTTCGATTTAAGAAGTAAGTAGATACTAATGACTGTTCCTACCAATGTAGATTAATTTTAATCTTGGTTCAATTTACTCTTCAGTTTTTTCTAATTCTTAGAATTAAAAAAAATGAAGAATTAGTTGAACGGAAATTAAAATTAAACTACATTAATAGAAACAAGCACAAAAAATGAAAAATAAGTTGAATCGAGATTAGAGTTAATTCACATTGATGGAAACGGGCATTAATATCAAAATTACGACGATGAAGAAAATTAATATAAAAATTTCATTTATGCAAAAACAGAATCCATCGAGTGAGCGTAATAATGACGAACACAGAGACGAGTATCGATAATCGCGAGACCACTGCGTTTTAGTTGAGAAAAGATATAGTTGAGTAACTTTTCAAGAGCAATTAACCCTCGTTCGGACAAGCTGAGTCCGTCGAATAACTCAGAAAATTTCAACTTCTAAATTCACTTTCAGAAATAAGCTCCTACTAGGAGCTTCCTCTAGGTCGGTATTCATAGACGATTCTTATATTCAAGACTGTCTTAAATGCAGTTTTAAGATTTTACGAACCAATCAAAGGGTCACAGTAACATCTTAAGACATTACTTAAGACGATCTTGAAATGAGAATGTTGAACTATGAATATTGATCCTAGACTTCGCAGAAAGAAAAAGATCACCAAGGAAATAAAGCGATATCGAAACATCAACCTAAAAAGAAGAGAGCGTCGTGAAATACACGACGGGAAACCGTATCTACGAGAAAAATCCGATTTGCAGAAAGCTGCGAAATTCGCGGGGCGTGTCGTTGTATGTAATGGTTGCCGTAATCGAGGATCGATAAGCTTGCGAGTTGCGATACGCGAGCGGTCTCATCAGAGTGTACCGCAATTCGTCGAGTCCCTGTTATTACATAAGCCTCATCTTTTTTTCTCTCTCTACCGAGAGATTATATCGCATGTTGTAATAATGATGTACTTGTGGACTTGTCCCGAGGTGTCGAAGCGAAGCGGGTAACAATGAAGTGAGTCGTGGCTTTTTACGGAACAACGCTTTCGTCGAGATATTAGCCACTGATATCAGTATCGCCGAAAGCGACGATGCTTGAAATAATTAAATCATGTTCTTACGCGCCAATGGCGGACGCGAAGCCAATCAACTTGCATTTTAAGCCGGTTCTTGGCGTGACAAAAGGGAGAAGAAGGCGTGTATTCCCGCGTATACCTCGCGAAAGGATTCTTTAAATAATTGCGACCATACAATATCGGCCATTAAAATTCACAACTCCTTTTTAGGTAACTCTACGTTATAATGAAAAAATCGAAAATGCTATGTAAATTAGATTACGTTGAGAGAGACGTTTATGATACTCGTGACTATAATTACATACCATAATTATGGTTATTACTGCTATAACGTTAGTAATAATATAATTGTATTTATAGTTTTATAAAAAAGTATATATAGTTGATATAAAAAAAAGTATATAATATTATCTATTATCATATAAAAATGATTTAAGTTACTATAATTAACCATAATTTATAATAATTTTTGGACTAGCTAAATTTTGTATGGTTGGCCTAAAAACGGCTATAAATTGTGTAAATTATGATAATTGTAACAATTGTTATGGTAATAATAACTATATTTACAGACACACAGCCATTTTTGTGCCAATTATATTTTTTATAGAACTATAATTATATTATATGAGTAACATTATGGCAGTAGTAACCAAAATTATCGCATCGTGTATTTATAGTCACAAACACCTAGTCACAAAAACTTTTCTCTCAGTATAATAGTTGCATTCTTTACCGGAACTTTACATATTGATTTGCAAATGTGACTGTGTAACGGAAACCACATTAAGTGCTTTTATTGAATAGCGCGTGTATCGCTTATATACGTTAATAAATGTGTAAACCGAAGCACTGATGTACGCAAATAACGGTAGAATATTCAGTGATAATATTTCACGAGCGGTCGCGCTATGTACACGAGTGCGTCTGTAATTATTCGTCGCGCTATCGTTATTTAACTAGATGTATCGCCAGCCGTAAAGCGATCGCGGTCATAACTCACTCGACATTTTACGCATGCGTGACAAATGGATTTTTTTTTCTATAGGATCCGCGCGATATTTCGGATAATCGCTCGCCCGCCGATATGATTCTGGCTTTACTGCTGGGCGATTAATGACGCGCAACTCGGAAGCGTGTTCGCCAAACGACCATTCGACGCGTCAGTTTTAACAGCGAGCTACCGGTTGTACGCGCAAAATCGATAATCGAATTAAATTAATTTTAAAACAACCCCACCGCCTACAGGTTGAATTCAGAATCATCGTCTACATTAACTAGCAGCTATGATTATCTCGAAAATGACTACCTTATATATATCGGTTATCGAATAAGCCACGAAGGCGTTACCTTCGCATATCGCATGGTATTAATTATGCAAATGGATTGACTTGATAGCTGGGTCGGATCAACATTATCATCAAATACATCGTAAGACAATTTCGCGAATGAGGCAAGAATAACGTTATCCCTGTCAGCTGATCCCCGTCCGGGTCTCTTTTAAACACATTATTACGTTGCATCGCGTATAAAATTGAATGGAATAAACATCAACATTAAACAGCCACAAAAACTTGCTACACAAATTTTATGTTGTGTTTATGCAAGCAATTTTTATTAATAAAGCTGTCCTCTTTACTTCGGTCGTAAAAAAAGGAAGATTGTGGCGTGTTTCTCGTGTCATACTTTTGGCTAAGAAAGCGTCCCAGCTGTTACATGTTAATGTCGCTTAATGGCTTACAAATAAATTGCCAGCGATGTGTCGTGACTCATCCGTAACGGACGGCACCGCGAAGTCCTTGAGAAAAGTGTTAACACCTGCGAGAACTACGCGCGCTGATGCACGTAGAGCCTGACGATCGTTTATCGTCTAGGAATCGCTTACTTGGTCTTTAAAAGAACGTTTCACCGACGATGAGTCAGTAAGAACCCGATCTCCGTAGCGAGATTGTATTTTCTACTGCGATCGCATAAAGATAATCGAGCATAGGAAAGAAGAGAAACTCACCATCACTTCATGTTAACGTATTAATCAACGTAAGCTGAATATGTGTTCACTTATTAACATTGAGAAGCAGTATTTCTTTATGTAACGACGTCTTTCCGCCGTATTCCAAGACGTCAGCCCGTAGCCGCAAAATAGTAGATAATGCGCGCGTTTGAATTGAGTGGCTAACAACGCTGAGTAATTCTTTCGCCGCGAAACATTTAAAGCTTATGATTCATATTCGAAGTCGTAAAGTAAGTAGAGAACCGTATAGCCTCGGCCAAAAGCCTGTCAATATGTATATACGCGTTTAAAACCGCACACGACGAATTAAATACGGAATAAAAATAACCCGAGAATACAATCCGCGGTTCTCGCGAGACAAAAGGACTTACCTTCTTTGTCGTGTAGAGTTTCCGGCCTTGAAGTAGCATGTACATCTTCTTCCAACCGTTCGAACTCGCATTTCGCATCCACACCATGCTGAATACGTACGGGCACTCACTGTCCTCCCGTAACAAGTAATTCTGCAACATGAGCGTGAGCAACATACATTTGCCGTTTTTCAGTCAGCACGGTTTACATTCGTGATGATCGCATTGGCAGGAAATCACACGTGTACTCACCCTTAACGCACTCTCGGCTTCGGTAAATGTGCCCCTCTCTTCCCCGCTGGGAAACGTAATCATGTCCGGAGGAAAAAATTGCTGCAAAAAAATTGTAGAGATATCTATATATACTGTTAACTTTTACATTTGAAGACGGACATCAAGGAAACTAAATTTCAAATCGTTTTTAAAATTGACAAGAATGAATTCTCAAAGGAAATATAAATATATCTCGTCCCGCAAGTATCTCGAAAAGCAGTTCTATAAACACACACGCATTACCTAAGAATCTTTTTAAAGATTTCAATGGATGGAAACACAAACACTCATATATGTACATTCACATGCGCAAAGAATATCTCCCTCTCGTTACAAGGAAAAGAAAAAGTCTCGAGATTTCCCCAAAGAGTGTCGATTACGAGTGTTCAATTTCTACGTTCGTTATTCCTTAATTGGCCAATCATCGGCGAAACTACAAGATTTATGAACCCAAACTGATTGAATTTCAAAACTGCTAATTGATATCAGTTCAAATGTATTAATTATGATGTCTTAATAACTTCGAAGCTTCACTAATAAATCGGTATCTCTTTACATATCATAAAAATTAACATTTTCTAATTAACAAGACCCAATAAAATGATAACTGCGAAATGTAAAAACAAAGTGTTATTTATTTATTGAAATTTTTTGCCTACACAATCTCGATGCATTGAGTTTAAAATGGAGCTGCATGCTCAATCCTGTAAAATCCCAGGACACGAATGTTCCAATCAATACTACCGAATCCTTGAGACCCCATACCCCATCGCCGATCGGAAAAGCGTTTCTTGTGCCATCTAACAATCTCTTCGAAACTTCTCTGGAATATAACCGCACGATTCGTCGGTAAACGAGAGATCTGCTAGAGGAACACGCGGAATACTCTCGTACCGACAATATTCACAGAGATACCGACAAAGTATTAAAATATCGACCGAGTTCATATTTAATATTCTTGACTATCAACTGAGTTTGAAGATAATTGTAGATTCCTAATATTACCGACATTTCAGACCCACAAAACTATAGTTTCGCTAAAATACAATATCGACAAACAAACGTTACATATATATTTATGGAATGGAGTAATTAGAAAATGTAATTACATTAATATAACAAATAAGTATACAAGTTTAAATCAAATGTTAGTCAAAAATTGGTCGGTAAAATCGAGGATATTTTATCTAGAGCCGGCAGTACTTCGTAGTTATCTAAACGCAGCTGGAACTATAGCTTAACTGGTAAACTCAGTCAGTCGGTAAGTTAACGCGGTTAGATTGAGTAGAATTTACTTTTTGATGCGATAATAACAAAGAACGCAAAAATTTGATTATTTTCTGGGAACACGTGCTCTTCAGAAATGTATAATTAAAAAAGCAGTTTTTTCTGCAAGGTAACAAAATTCTCTATTTTTTTTTACTTACCACAGGCTTGATGAACACTTCATATTTCAGAAAGTCTTGACTAAAATAGAACCTCCTTTCGTATTGGGAAGCGAACATTTCCAATTCCCTATGAACAGCGAGTATATCTTCGTGATCTTCTAAAGTACGCTCTGCAACAGAATAATTCATCCTATTTGTGACAAATATATTGCTGTGTTGCTAATATCAACGCAGTAATATATTTAGCGACTTTTTAAAATTATATCGAATAGTATTTGAATATCCTAGTATTATCCTAAAAATCGGTATCTGTTTTAAGAAAATAATACTTCACAATGTTTCTAGTTTTAAAATATTTGTTCCTTTTTATAGCAAAATTAATTTTAAAACTTTTAAATAAGTTCTAATAAAAAGGATTTATAGTTATAGTGCAGATCTTGTTATGCAATTAATTTGTAAAATGATTCCATGGAAAACACATTAGACTAGAATAGCCTGACATTTTGTCCGGATCTCTAAACAAACATTCCGTACGGAGACACAGCCGCGAGTCGCGTCTCTGACCTGCACCAAGCTCCTGGAGGTTTCGCCCGCTATTGATTCTCGGTTGCATTATAGAGCTCTGTGCCGTCTTTACGGCCTCTCCAACCCCTTTCCTCTTTTCTCCCTTTACCCCTCACCATGCACACGTTATTTCCGATCTCGTTCCGAGTCGATGTCGTAGAGAAAATTTAGACGACTGAAGTTTTCTCATTGTGTTAGAGGCTCATTGACTCACCTTGAGGCTTCTCTTCGGCTTGATATGCCTCGAACTTTTAACGAATTATCTGTCTTTCACGAACGCGCTGATATTTTTGTAAATAAATTATTTGTTATCGAATTCTTGAATAGCTCTCGAGTGTATCACACGCAATAATCATATATATATATATATATATATATCGAATTAAACGTTTAATTCTGTAAATTCCATCCATTATGTTTGGGTATACGTTCATCACATTTGTATGAATTACGCATGCATTCCAATAATATAAATATAAAATTGTACATGTATACATAATACATACTATGATCAAAATGTACAGAATATTTTCATATTTCTCTAAAAAAAATTTAATGAAAAACTAACAATTTCACGAATAACATTCTATAGCGAGTAATCGTTACAATCGTAGACTTTAGAAGTATGGTCGATGACACATTGCTATTCGCACGTGAGCACGAAGCATAGAATATACTTATTGATTGATTGTTAACTACATTTCCGAGAGAATACATAGGCATTTGAAATAATCGCGACAGAAATATCACACATTACGATATTATTTTTCGTTATGTTTATATTATTACATACCGATTCCCAGTTTCGGCCACGTTTCGATTATCGACCAGGCTGCGCCGATCGTGTTCCTCTTGACTTTGAGCAACTCGCACAGGTCGATCGTTCGTAGATTTTTCTCCACGACCACGGTCGTAAAAGAATGATCGTTGTTATAAAACCGCAATTCTTCCTAATTAAATAAACATTGAAAAGACATTAAATTCATTAAATAAACAATTGAATTGAATTGGATACAATTCAATTAATTAATCAAATTAAATTAATTCGCAGTCTTTCTCTCTTATAAACCTCTTTTAATTTATCTATTGCATCGTAAATAAATTATAAATATTTTGTTTTATATAATTTATATTTTGTTTTGTAATCAAATAAATTTACATAAATGAATAAATCAATGATAAATTTTTGTTTTATAAAGATATGAGAAAAATTTGTATTATACTTTAATTATTGCGTCATATTTATGAATTCTATTATATTTATTTTCATTTTTCAACATAATACGTAGATTCCACTTACGTAAATTAAACACAATATAAAAATTCACTATTTTATACTCATTTCCTCGATTTTTCTGACTACACATCACATATTTGTTATAACGACATAAAACTATCATTTTTTAGTTATTTACATAAACAATGGAAACATAAAGAAAAAAGTGAAATATACTTTAAAATACATACTTTTATTCCCCTCTATAATCAATCAGTTATTACATCAAAATTACATTTCGAAATTAATATTAGCAAATTTTAGTAATTTATAAAATATTTCAACTTATTTTTTTTTTTCTGGAAAACTTAATTTTTTAGCTGTGTCATTGTGTAGTGAATGAGTAACATTTAATCAAGAAATAATAAGACAGACAACGTAATATTTAAAGCGCAAGATAATACATACCTGTCTTTCACTGTCTATCATATCCTGGTCACTTCTTCGACTCCTTCGCATCGTGCTGTTGAGTTCGAAGATCGTGAGATTGGAACCAAGCCGCTCATAGCTTGCGGCTCGGTTACTGGGCAGCGTTGAGCTGCTGTCGATGCAGGAGCACATCTTCGGGAGCCAATCTGTAAGGGCCGAAGGAGATACTAGAGAGAGATTGGTATGACGTGTCGTGATTAACAAATAAAAGAGAAAAGGGCTACATGACTTAAAAAATCGCAAAGAATGTCAATCCGTTAAAAACGCTAAATCTACTATATAAATATACTGGCAAAGAGGCGTAAGAGCGAGCCCGCTGTACTAAAGATCTATTTTACAACTTGGGCTTCACAGGATCTACATAGTCGGGATGGAGCCACTACATTATCGATGAGTGAACGTGGCCCCCTCTCGTTTCAAGAGACACAAAAGAAAAAAAAAAGTAGTGTTCAAACATTAAGGACAAAATGTAACGTCGTGCTGTGAAATCGCAGCATTTCTCGGGCGAATTTTTCGAATAGCAATAACTGTACGTTGGAATATCGAGGCGCAGGGATATAAGGTAGATAAGTGACTACACATGTGCTGCGACATTGAAGACACGTTGTGCGTAGTGCGTGAGTCGCGTTTTATCTGCGAGCCGTTGTAACGCGGATATTTACACCTCGCGGAGGTCGCGCGCAATTGCTTCGTCGCCGCGTTGCCTTCTCTCTCTATCTCTCTCTCTCTCTTTTTCTTTAGAATGACTATGATATATCAAATATGAGTCGTAGTAGAGTCGTACAAGAGTCGTTATCGCTAATCCGACGAATTGCCGTAGGCAGATACCTTTACAGGCCATGCGGGTCAAATTTCCAATATAAACCGTTGGGCGGTCGAGTGATTTCAAGCAGGAAATACCGATACGTTATTGAGATAAATCGATCCTATTCCTGATTCTCTCTAACTATTTAGGATCCACGTTATCATACAAATTTACATAAATCGATTAATGTTACGAAAAAAGATTTTAAATTATTGTTATATATAAATAAATTGCATTTGGATATCATTAACTCTTCTATTATATTAAAATTTTATATATGTAGATAAAGCAAAAGGAATATTTTTATAAATAAATAAATAGAAGTTTCATTAAAAATATTGTTTTAATAAAAATATTTTTAACAAAATATATTTAAATAATAATTTTATTAATTCTTATGACAAAAATGAAAAAACTGTAAGTAAAAATCGATGTATGATCAAACAAAAATACAGTGTACTTGATGCATAAGAACAAACGGATCATTTGAATATTTATATATTATTGTAATTTTTTATAAAACTTTTTACTAGAAATTAATTTAATTTGTAGCATGAAACTGATACAAACATACATAAATGGAGAAAAATATTACAAAAATTATAAATTTTATATTTCATAATATTTATTCAATGATTTTACATAATTAACGATATATTATATATTCACTTAAAATTAGAGATTAATTCAAAGACCGTCGATTAATATTTTTTCTCATAATTTTTCTTCATAATATTTTGTAGAATCTCTACTTCACAAATTTATTTTTGCCTTTTTCCAATCGTTCGTTCAATACACGTTTGCAATCCAATCGAAGGACTTTCTCCGGTTAGCTCGAATGCGCAAAAGTCATCGTCACCATGTCACAAAGATACCTTGAAGAGATGAATAGCGCCTTAATAATCATTCTTCTGTCCCATATCCGGACTGTGTCGTGACGATGCAACAGCAACAAGAATCCACGTGTATAATATACATACAGTGAGAGCAAAAAGTATTCGTACAAGGAAATTTTTTATAAAAAAAGTCTTATTTGTAAACAATAAACATTACTTAGCAATTTTATACAATAAACATATTCTGTTCTAACATAAAAAAACGAGCTTCGCTCCTTGTATTCCTGATTCTAGAAGCTAAATTTCTCGATTGTACGAATACTTTTTAAGCATCCAAACAATAGAATTTTTTATTTTCGCTTATTTTATAGATGATATATTTTCGATAATTAATACACATCTTTTTGGTACATATATAATTTTAAGAAACATACAGTCTATTTTATTCTTTATGAATAAATTATTAATTACGTAGCAAGAAATGAACGTCGAATCGACGTCGAATTGGTGTTGAATCATAGTATCAATATTGATTCGACATCAATTTGATGACTCATTTCTCGCTGAATAATATTTACTTTTTAAAAATAAGATTTTTTTTTAAATATTTTCTCTGCATCAATACTTTTTGCACTCACTGTATGTGCCAGCGTCGACACTCGACACGTCCATCGAATTCGCCGCGAATTAACGATCATTTCCACGAAGGATCAATAACAGATACAAGACGAAGGAAGAAGCAACAACAAATCTATAAACTAATCGATATCACGCGAAATCTTGTAAGAATAGAACTCAAAAATTTGTCTCATTTGTTCCATTTGATTAATAAGATTTTTTCGTGAATTAACATTTTAATTATAAAGTAATTTACATTTTAAGAAATTATAAATAAACTATTGCAATACAAGTAAACAAACTATAAATAAATTATGAGAAAATATACAGAATATTCCATGACAAAATTTTATGAAGTTTTAAATGGAATAATTTTATCATCAAATTATTAATACAAAGCCAGAAGTTTATCGGGCATCGTTTTGTATAAACCCGGAGGAAAATCGACTGTAATTGCAAATTATGAATCTCGCTAAGACTGCTCAAAATCCCGATGACGTTTCACTGTATTATCACGAGATGATAAGAAATGTAAAATGCCTGCAGACTATTTCGAGATTCCTAAATTATCGCTGATAATGGTGGAAAATCACTAATGCATTCACTCGTATTGCAGCTACGTCTGCACTTCCATTTTAAAGAATCTCGACTTTTAACGAATCAACGTTTTCGTTCAAATAAATAAATATACAGAAACCGAATCTGTCGTGAAACATGTCACTTGACTAATTAATTCCTATTAATATTGTACATTTAAATTTTTCGAATAAATTTATTTGTTTGATCTAAATAACCTTTTATTACTATATGTATTATTTTTGAGACTTCCACGAGAATTTTTTATACAAAAGCATGCGTTTTGCGGATTGTATCGAAATCCATTATTAAAATGCCAATGTTACATAAACATTGCAGTTCACTTCATGAGGGCAAAGATCAGTCTGAGCTGCTTCTCCGAGGGATCCCCCTTTATATATATATCTACGCTGTTTAAAAATAGAAGGGGGAGAGGGGGAAAGTAAAATGGAAGTAGCAGAGAAAAGGATATATCTTCGACGACAGAGAGAACGATCTTTATTCTACTTATGTTATAGTCATTAACTCTCTTTAAGTTATTGAGATATTTCTGTATCTCTATAGCTTTTCTTGGAAAGTATAATAATAGTGATGGCGTAATTGTTTTATTAAACAATATTTAGTATCCTTTCTCAATGTTGTCTTCTGATAATGCTAACTATGTGATATATTTTAATCTGACGTCCACGTTGATGTTCTTTCATCCATAGATTAACCATTCTCCCGTCGTCTTTCCAGTGTATACTTGTTCGCAAAAGCAAAATATTTATTTTTGCGGAATTGAGGAGGTCTTTGGTCTTTAGAATTTCTCAAAATTTATCCAATCTTTTTAAGGGATTTAAACTTTAAATTCTAAGGGGTTTAATTAATATCGATTTCCATCAGAGCAAGCGAATAGCATTCGCGGACAGGTAACTAACATCCTTTCCAAAGTCAAACCTTCATCATCCCAATATCACTAGAGCGATTTTTCCTCTAATTGTAAGAACTGAGTAAGGATACAAATATCATCGTGCTTTCAATCGATAAAGGCGATACAACAGTAGTCATGAACACATCAGACTACATAAAAAAAAGATCCTAGTGAAAAGAAGTAGTATTCTCGGTAAGAACACTAAAATCCACACACATCCTCAAATCAGAGAGCCGGACTAAATCGAAATCGGAACCGAAAACTGTTTCGGAACCTTTTTTTTAGTGAACCGAAACCGAAACCGTATCCAAATTTTGTAAAGTTTACAATATCGAAATCGTAACGGAACTGGTAAAATTTTATGGTTTTTTCGATTCTTTTTTCAGTTCTTAATTTTTTAATTATCCTTGTTCTTAATCTTTGTTCTACCCGTTCCTTCGTCCAAATCACCAACATTCAATCCAGTATTACCATCGCCAATTCTCTTAACAACCGGAATGTATAAATACCTCCAACACCTCATATGATATAAGAAATCTGACGGGATCGCGAGATGTATTTGATGTAAACGTTTTTAAAGATAGTAGCATTTCTTTTATTTAGATCTTCCTCACCAACATGTTGCAAGAATTTATTCGAAGTCATGAAAATCAAGAATACATATGTAGGCTTTATGTAATAAGTGAGATCTATCCATAAGAATCAAATAAGTTTTAAGAAAGGACTGAGAGAAATATGTTTAAAATATAATGTTCACGTAATTTTTATTCAGAATCATATGATCAGTTGACGCCTCTCTTCGACTAAGCTTTCTAGATTGAACGGGTGAACACGCTCTCTCTCTTTCTCTCTTTCTCTCTTTCTCTCTTTCTCCTCCTCCTCCTCCTCCCCCTCCTTCTTCTTAATAGACTAAATTAAAAAAAATAAATTAAATAAAGCGAGTAAGTAGAACCGAAAAAAACCGAAAGACCGTAATTTTTACGGTTTCGGTTTTCTTTACTGGTAAAAAAAAACCGAAACTGAAACTGGAACATTTATTTGATATCATATACCGGAACTGGAACCGAATCGAAAAAACCTTTCGGCCCGGGTCCCTGCCTCAAATCAACACTAAATCTACAAATCCTCTCCCACTACAACTATACGGTCTGTCCAAAATACACAAATCTAATATTTCTCTCAGATCAATTGTCAGTGCTGTAAACTTTCCAACATTAGAGCTCTAGATGTACCAGAGTAACTCAAGCCGAGTACCGACAACTTTTCTATTGGCTGTTTCGACTGCTATTTCTGACTGACCTGATAGTTTATCATTTAATAAGTGTTTAGTAATTCTTTAAGGGCAAACATGGCAGACTTCTGCGCTACTATGGTACATTAAAGCTCTATATATACCCA